AGTGACAAAAGAGAAACCACACTAATGGAAACATTCCCCCAGAAAGTGCCTTTTATGAAGCACAAATGCCTGCCCCTTTCTAAGGCAAACTTACTGTGAATGTGTAGTTTCTGGAAAGTTGATGCTCCTCCTTTTCTAGACATTGAAAATAAAGGAAATACAAACAGGTTAAAACTACAGTTCTCTTCTAGGTATGCAAGCAAGGTTTTCTTCTGAAAAGCCTCTCCTCCAGAGCTTAGATTTCCAACAGAAGCAGAACAAGACCCATATTTTGGTCAGGTAATTCACATCCTTCTGCCACTCTATGAATAAATGGCTCTAGAAAATTCATGAGGATTTGCAAGCTCCAATTAAAAAAAAATCACCAAATCACACCATGACAGAGAACTTTGCTAGTCTTTGAACAATTTATAATTGTAAATACAATAGACCAAAAAGGGGAAAAGGGTGTTCTACAAAGGCAAAGTACTGTCACCTGAAGAGTTTAAGTTTCTTTATAAAGATCATTGGAGAGATCTCTCAAGACACCTAGAAACATTATTCTTCATTTTACAGATGGGAAAAGTGAGTCAAAGAGATTAAGTGACTTACCCAACGCTACACATGAAATCTGTGGCAGAGCCAAAGGGGCTAGGACCCACATCTTCCCAGTCTAGTGCTAAGCCTTGATAACTCTATCTTTCCACTGCAAAGCTACACACTTCAGCAAACAAAGCATTCCTTTCTGCTAATTGGTATTACAGGGGAACTGAATTGTTCTTATTTACCAAAGTACAGATTTGTGTCAAGCAAAGCCAATTATACTTAATGTTTAAACTATTGCAGGTGCTCAATGACATTGTTGCTAGGCACTGGAAGTGAAATTGCTCTTTTAATGCATCTTGTTCCAATTGGGAGCATGTGCTCTATCATCAGTGCAAACTTAACAGATGGATATTTTATCAGTGATCTCTCTCCTCCCTCCCTTACCTGAAATGTTGTCCCATGAATTTGTCTTAACTGTTTTTCCCAGGAACTGTTTGGAATGGAGACTGTATCTCTTCTGAGTTTTGCACCATGTCCATTTAACCTGTTAGATGGACACTTCAACCAGTGAACATCCATGAACATTAAAATGGAATATATGTAAATTACATATTGTGCACCCAGCATCTATTTGAGTAGCTAGGCTTTGGCTTGCTAGAAAGCATACCCCTGAATCACAAAGTCTGAAAGGATGTTTCACCTTAAGTGCATGGTTCATTCACAACCTGTGTCAGAACTGGAACTCTTCCACTGTAGTATTAGAGTACGTAGTCTTGGATTTATTTCTCACAGTACAGGACAAATAGCAAATAAGACAACAAGCATAGGCATTTGAGCCTTAACATTTGCTTTTCAGACCAAAACTATCACAGATTAACCACCTCCTGGGCAAGGAGAGGGTATTGTATGTTGACATTCCTCAGCTTCTCTTTACATTACTGTGCACACTCATTCTCCTCCTCCCGCCCTTCTGTTCTCCCCTCCCCCAGCCTTTTTTACTAATGGACCCAATTCCACGAAGATTGCTTAGCTTCTTCCAAAGTTGAGACTGAATCAACAGAAGCATTTACACAGTGCATCCTGGGACAAAACAGCGGAAGAGTTCTGAGCAATTACATAAAGAGTGGAGACAAGGTCACTAATTCTTGTTCTTTTAGGGCATGTCTACACAGTTGCGTTATTTCGGAATAACTAACGTTATTCCAAAATAACATAGTGCGCATCTCCACTACAAGCCTTTATTTCAAAATAATGTTGAGCTGGAGGACATTCTCCTCCAACTCCTGTAACCCTCATTTCACGAGGCGTAAGGAAGGTTGAAGGAAGAATGCTCTTCCTTTGACTTCCTGCTGTGTAGACAGCACCAAAAGCTGAAATAAGCTATTTCAACACAAGCTACACAATTGACATAACTGAAGTTGGGTAGCTTATTCCGACTTTAGCCCTGCTATGTAGACGTATCCTCAGAGTCTCAGTATTCTGCTTTAATGAGCTTCCAGCCACCTATGTTCTTATCTACTAGTTTGTAAGTATCATGATAAGCATGGTATAAATACTGCTATTGGGTGGATTAAACCGAGCTGAACCTGGTGGGTGGCTTTTACTCAGGTGTTTTCAATCTTTTAAAAAAAATAAATATAATTAAATGTTTCAAAATGAAAAAAGTCAGAAAACATTAAAAAATAAATTTTCAATTTTTTTTTCTGCCCAAACTATTAGCTGAATTTGACCCAACATGGCAAATAGTTTGGTTGATCTGAAACTGCATTTTCTGACAAAGTATCTGTCTTAAAAACCAACCCTTCATTTCTTTGAATGTCACAAAAACTATAGCAGCCAGGAAATAAATTGCCTTGGATTCAAAGAAGTCTTCTCTTTTTAAAAGTTGTTTTACAAAGACAATGGCTTCATTTTCCACAGAGGAATATGGTGTCAGACATCAGAAACTCTCCTGGTTCATTTTCCTTTGAGAGATGAAGATTATTCTTTGCAATCTACCTTCATTCTTCTGTTTCCCTACTATCCATACTATGATGATTTGGTATGACCAACCCCAACCTTTAAAAATTATGAGTCATGTCCCAAACATCAGGAGATCTATATAAATACCAAGAATATATTGCTCCTAAAAAATTTTCCCCATAAAATACATTTTACTTTCTCTTTATTAGATTGCTACAAGTTTTAGTTTTTCAAAGTCCTCTGCAACCACGAAGGCTATAAACTTACTTTTTAAAGAATGAAATTCTCTGAAAATCTCAGATAATTCCACTAGCTGGGAATTTAGAAAACCCACCAAATATGGTATTATGTGCAATAAGCTCTTTGGGTATGTCTACACTACAGCGTTATTTCGAAATATCTTATTTCAAAATAGTTATTTGAAATAGCTTATTTCAAAATAACGCGTCTACACACAAAATGCATTTCTGCCCCCGGACAGACAGTTCTCAGGTTTCCCTGCTTCCTTGTCTACCTCAACAAGGGCCAGCAAAGTATTTTCTCTCTGCGTGCTCCGGTTGCCCTCACTCAGGACACCACAGCACTCTGCAACATGGAGCCAGAGCTGCCCCTGGGCACTCTGGTGCTTCTCTTGGATGCGTTGCTGTGAGCCTGGCTGCACTTTCTGCAGGCTGCCATGCGGGAGGTCCATTGGGAGGCTGTCAGTATCCAAGAGGGCCTGCGGGAGAGCTTCCACCCTGAGGAGCACTAAGAGACTCCCTGGTCTGCTCCACTGCGGGCTTGTGCCTCATTCCTCTCTCACGTCCTTCCACTTACCCCTCCCTAACCCCCCTTCCTGATGTCAAATAAAATATACGTATTTTCATGAACACAAACTCTCTTTATTTAACAAAACTGGGGGGGAGGAAATGAAACTCTGGTGAGACTGGGGAAAGGAGGGAGGAGAGGGGAGTAGAGAGGGTGGGAAAGGGGAGGAGGAAATCTGGGAGGAGGGAGCTGGAAGGGGGAAGCAAGGGGAAGGGAAAGCTCAGGGTCTCGCTGGACCAACTTGATTTTCATGCAAACCTGCTCCTGGGTTCGCATGTGGTCTTTGTCTACACAGCACTTATTTTGAAATAGCTATTTCAAATTTGGCATTATTCCCCATTAGAATGAGGTTTACCAAATTCGAAATAAGCACGCTGCTATTTTGAATTTATTTCTAAATAGCGGTTTGGCTGTGTAGACCCTAGGAAAGTTTTTTTGAAATAAGGGCTGTTATTTTGAAATAACTTTTCTGTGTAGACATACCCTTTGGGAGTCAGGGACCATCTTTTTGTTCTTTTCTCTAGCATGATGGGGTCCCTGGTGTGGCTAGTAGGCTCTTACTGTAACAAAAATAATACATAAAACATCTTGAGGGTTGACAACATTGTAGATTTTCTGAGGGATTAAATCAGATCTCACAAGCCAAACAATGATAGGTCTGGTCAGTATTTGGATACAAGCCTTATTAAGAAAGAACCTGTCACATCTTCAGATGGCAATTCTCTTCTCTCAAAACCACTGTAGGTACACAGAAAAAAATGATGTTGCAGTAGCAAATCTCAGAGATCAGGTCAACTGATTTGGGATGTCACTACAGTTAAAAGTTGCTGTGTACATGTTCAGCTTTAGGTTCGAAGCCCCCACCTCCACAGGACTTCAGACCCCAACCTCCAGCCCAAGCTTGAATGATTGCAAAGCTAATTTTACCCCATTCTACAATCCCAAATCAGTTAACTGGGGCTCTCGGAATCACTGCTTTGGGTTTTTTGTTTTTTCTCCCTGTGGAGCTGTACCCTATCTAGCAAATCTACCCTTCACATAGTGTTAGGGAAAAGAACTGTGAACGTAACTGTTCCATATTCCCTGTGAGATTTTAAAAGAGTCTCACCTACTTGTAGTCATTAAAATCTCCTGACACTGCTGACAAGAGAATGATTAGTGGCCCCAGTGACAACATGTCAAATTCCAAAATAGGGAGTTATTTTCCTAACTGCAGGTTTTTTTTTTATAGTATTCTTACATTTAAAAACTCTACTGCCAGGTGAGGTTGTTAAACAGCTGCAGTTTCCAGAGGTAATGAGTAAAGTGGTTTCTGTACATGAGTTTAATGAACAATTTACAATTGTTATTTAAATAATGACAATAGTCCCACCTAACTCTCCCACAGAGTGTTTTTCATTAGTGGCTTTCAAAGTGCTTTACAAAAGAGGCCAGTATTATCCCCATTTTACAGAGAGGGAAATCAAGGTCCAGAGGTGTGAAACAACTTGTCCAAGGTCATCTTGCCGGTTGTTGGCAGAACTGGAAATAGCACAACAAATCTCCTGAGTCCAGTCCACTGCTCTAATAGGCAACACTGTCTCCAAACAAAGTAAAATGGTTTATATATAAATATGACAACGATTGGATAAAGAAATTTCAAAGTGACTTTATTCATTTAAGTCATAATTAAATACATACGTTAACACATTATATGTTTCCTCTCACTCTTTAAAAGGCTCTGCTCATGGAGCTCTCATTGACAGCAACCAGAGTTAAGTGGCTAGAGCAGCTACGGGGACAGGCCCTACATTAGTAATGGTTTGGGGTACTTGGTAAAAATAACAGCAAATGAATATTTGTGCTAAAGCCTTTCATAAATGCATAGTCAGCTTCATTAAAACATACCAGATGACTGACTGCATGAAATCAGGTAGACTGCACTCTAATGCCAGTTCTGTCAATTAAAGGTAAAAATTTATAAGGCTGTCTGCAAAGGAGATAAAGTGGAAGAATATTCTAGGACACTGTCATAAAATTTGGGATGCTTTTCATGCTTCAGAAGCTTCTTTTCAAAGGTGTTTCCTCTGAACCCTTGGTCATATTCTTGATCCAGATTGCTGTATCTGCAAATAAAAAAAATAAAGCAGATACAGACCCTGTTTTTAAGGATTTGCTCTGCTGTGATTTTGCTGAGTGACCTTGAGTTAGTCACTGCTCTCCCTGTGTCTCAGCTTCCCTCGTCTGTAAAATGGAGATAATAGTACTGAACTCCTTTGCGACCTACTGATGAAAAGTGATGTTGAAAAACTAGATAGTAGTCAATAGTCTTGATAATTTAAAGGAGCGGGCATGAAAGAAATTAACACTTAGGAAAAGTAGACTACTTTATGAATAGTTTGCACAGCAATGGGTCTCAAAGCACTTTACTGAACGTGTGGATAATGATATATTTTATATGGGAGACAATGAGGTACACAGAGGAGAAATTTTGCTATCGCAAGAATCAGAATCAAATTTAGAATCCAGGGCTCGTCTTCTTGATTAGCAACTAGACATTTCTCCCTCTTGGTATAAATTCAAATTTGGATTAGATATGCATTTTTATGTTTTCAAGAGGCCAGTATGGTGTTGCAAAGCTAGAGGAAATCTGTAATAAAATAATGTCAGATTTTTAATCAAGCCAAGTTACAAGAAGCACATTTCCCTTGCTGGTATTCACTTGAAGAATACCTAGTGCCCTTTTACCAGCCTTCCAGCAGAAGAAATTAGAGTTAGCAAAGTCCAACTCATCTCAAGAGTTTTCTATATTTTTCTTAGTATGAATCACATTTTAATAGAAAGTTCATTCTGTTGGGCCTCTCTCTTTTGCAGTGGTGTGGGATACTTGTCCTTCTGTGAGTGGCTGAAAAGCATCCCCATGACAACTGTTGGTTACAGGGAAATGTTAGTTATGTATCTATTGTATTTTTGGATGATAATGCCGTTCAGCAGCTGGAAACAAGGAGGTAGAGACAGCACCATGTCCCCAGAAGGCTTTGCAAACATTATTGGTGGTCCTCTAGGTCACTGTTTGGGAACTGAAGATTATATAAATATCTATGGCCTACTGAAAATGTAGAATTGCTTCCTGCATTTGCAGGGGCGGATATAGGGCAGGGCGAACGGGCCCCGCGCTTCAGAAAGCCCCGCGCATGCTCCGTGGCGCCGCTGCGCATGCGCCGTGGCAAGGGGGGGGGCCCCGCGGAATTATGCTGCCCGGGGCCCCACAAAACGGTCATCTGCCCCTGTGCATTTGAGTGACTTTGAGTCATTCCACCATCTCCCACCAGGGAGTCTAGTTGACATCAGTATACAGGTGAGAAGCAGGGAACATTCCTTATGCATTCTTTTGCTCTATTCCATCTCACTATAGTTATATTCACCTACACAGTTCCCTTCCATCTTCAGTGTTTGCATTCATCACAGAATTTTAGGCCCCTTTACAAATAATGTGCCTTTCATTTTTAATCTTATCACAGTCAAAGTAGCTTCAAGTCCTGTCTCTCCACAAGGGGGAAAGAGAGAAAATCCTGAACTTGACTCTGTGCATGGTAATCCGATGAACTACGTTTAGGCTGCTCATCTAGCATGGCTTTGTTGTAAGGTGCCCTTTTAATTTTAATGAGAAATCCTGCACAAACTAGTGAAATGTCAGACCCTCATTTTCTGGTACTTACCTATGTGAAATGATCCAGAACCCCAAGGTGTTCATCACCATTAATGAAGCCAAGAAGAAAAAGAATCTCTCCAAGTTACCCTCATTTAGGAAGTTTGGGAACCAATGGCCTATTGAAGCAAATATTTGAAGCAGTTAGTCTATTCAGCTGCTTAAGAGGTAGGACACATGTAAGTTACTGAAATATAAGCTTGTGCAAGAACACCCAGATCCTACAGCTATGTGGGCTTTGAGGTCTATCATAGATATTTATACAACCTCATTACCTGGGTGTCTAGTTGATACCCTGAACTTTGGTCTATTCTTCCCCTGATCATCTTCTATATGCTTGTATCACACACAAAGCATCTGCCTTCAGAGAACATTATTAAGGTGGCAAAGTCAAGTATTTGAAAATGGGAATAGCAAAATTCAGGTTATCCATACAACCTTAAATAAAACCCTTGTGTATATGCATTACGATGCATTCTTTAATGACATGTTTGCATACTATTTTTTCCACAGGACACTTGCTGAATGCACAGAATGAATGGTGCTCCTTTTGTCAGAAGCTATTCAGCATTTTCTTTCTTCCTCATTGAGCAATAGGTGCCCACAGGACTTATTCACAACACCATTAAGCCTTGCATCTCAGAGTCAAAAATTACTTTCTTCCACTTTTCACTCCTCAGACTTATCCTAATCCCACTCGGGACGGCCCGTGGATGTAGGCAACCTCGGCAGTTGCCTAGGGCGCCACATTTAACGCAGCGCCCAATGATGACGTCATGCCATTGAGGGCTATGGAGGTGGGGGTGCCAATCGCGCATTCTGCCTAAGGCGCCAATTGCCGGCTGCTCTCCTCAAGCTGCTCCTGCCCATGTCTACCTCTCCCTCCAGTCCAATCGCCTTATCCAGCCACTCTCAGAGCCACACCCACCACTTTCAGCTCTTCATCAAAGCTGTCTCTTCCCTCACCATGGCCTCTAGCCATTCCTTCATTCCGGTCCTACTGGGCTCCTAGTCCCCATCCTCCTCCCTGAACACTTTATTCAGTCTCAGTGTCCCCTAACTCTTGCTCACTGTCTCAGGTTCACTGTCAAGCAACTCTCAGTTCTCCTTGCAACAACAATTTCTTGCCAAATGCACCTTTCCTCTTTCCCCTCCACGTTGGTTCCTAGTCCTGATCTCCTTGCCCAGCCAGTCTGAGTATCTTGGTAGCTCCTCATTCTATCTCAGTCTCCCTCCTACTTACTGGCTCCCAGTCCCAATCTGTCTACCCAGCCATCTGCAACCCTGCCAGCTCAGCAATCCAATATTCTCATCCAGCAAGTCCCAGTCTCTTCCACTACCCCCACGGAATGCTTGGAACAAATACACATTTTCTCCCAAACTTTTTCTGTGAGAAGCAATGTGGTACTCTGAGAAGGTAAAGTCACTCAGCACGTCTTCAGTCTTCAGGTCTGGCAGCTGCACCATTCACCAGTCTCAAAAAAACAAACAACCCAGGAAATTTTGGCCAGTGTGTTAAGCAACAAAAGGCAATGGATCTGCAACAGTTAGGACTTTCTGGCCCTCTTCATGCTGTATACATTATCTATTTGTAAATAATCTAAAAACACAAACCTGTTGGCCTTTCAGTATTACAGAGTCTATGACAAATTTCAGCCCTTCAAACTCCATGAAGTAAAGGTCAATGACATATGTGCATACACCAAGTTCTTGAGGTGTTTTGGGTCATAACTGCAATACTTTAAGTTTCCCCCTGCCTGTCATATATGCTGGGCACATCACAATTGCAGGAGCAGGTTTGCTGAGGTACTTGGTAACAGAGGAGACTGGGTTTCACAGAAGGCAGCCAGACATTAAGTTTGACTGGATTTCTAGCAGTTCGTTCTAGAAGGATGATCATACATGGTTTACACACAAAACTGAACTGAAAGCATAGAGTGTCAGAGGAGCTAAAATATCAGAGCAAAAACACTACAAGGCAGTATCATGTCCTTATTCTAATGGGGAACACAGCCTGTTTATGGCCAAGAAAAAAAAATTCTAATATAAAGTTCTCTAGTATTAAAAAATCAGCTCCCCTCATAAGTGTTTGCTAAAAGGGGAAGGAGAAATATAAAGTTTTCTTTTTTGCAGTTGTGCCACTGCAAAATTAACAGCCTTCATCAACCTAAGCTGTCTGCTGGCATTCGTAGCTCAGTTCGCAAGACCTACTTTACTGAATTAAAGTGTGGAGGAGAAAGGAACAATTTCAGTTAGAGTGACCAGTCAAAGGAATGAAAGAAGGATCTCTGCTTGTCTTCTTTCTTTCTAATACTCTTTCATCCCGACCTCATCATTGTAAACATCTCTCTTCACATGTAAGCAGTACCCTTTAGATCTCTCTGGATCAATAAGGATCAACTGTAATCGGTACCATAGTTTCCCCTCATCCTCTTCCAGACTTTGTTCTGCACAGTGATGTCTCTTTGCCTGTCAGAGAACAGCACTACCTCACCTCTGCATGTGTGGTTCCCTTTGTGGTATTATCTCTGAACTAGTTTTAAAACGTATCATTTAACATTGCCAGTTGACTGACCTCCCAGGTACCATAACTTCAGTTTAGTAGCTTATAAACTTTTACTGTCATAATTCACAATCAGGCAGTTTTTCATTTTACATCCCCCAGTGGCCGAGAAAAGAAGGAAGGAGAGAGAGAGAGAGAGTGTGTGTGTCTGATGAAAGGAAAAGCAAGCATGGGGTTCTGTACTACAGCTTGTCAAAGCAGAGTTCACACTGTCTGTTGGATTATTTACATCTATTGGTCTAACTATGTGAGCAGCAGGAGCTTTGTAATGGAACTGAGTTCACAAGGGAAGCCAAACAGAAAACATGTCATTAAAATATTACTGAATTATAAGAAAAATGAATTTAGCTCCACTCCTGTGCGTTGTGGAGTTTTTGACTTCCAAGAGACCAGTCCCTGAGACTAAGTTTTGCAAAGGGCACTAAATTAATACTATTGGAGATGGAAGATCTCTTTTCATGTCTTATGACAAGCAGCATGCGCCAGTGGATAAGCCCCTGGACTGGAAATCAAGAGCCCTGGCTCCTATTCCATGCTGTGCCACTGACCTTCTATGTACCTTTCGATAAGTCACTTCTCTCTGAGTTTGTTTTCCCTCATGCTCCTTCTCTGCTCTTTGTTTGGACAATGGGGCCCAGATCTTAAGTGGGGTCTTCAGACAGTAGTACAATAGGAAAGCAATAACAATGCAAGCTTAATCAATTAATCAAGTGAGAGGATATAATTAATGCTTCTCCCCAATCTAAGATACATTACATGCTGGCTCCAATCCTTGTTGGTTACACAGGTATGAGTGGACACTGTCATCTGGACTACAAAACATCTTTTGGCAATATCATAGTTTGGTGCTAATCACACAGGCAAATTAGAATTCAAGTGACAATATTGGTACCTCAGATATTAACAGAAAGAGGCAATCTGGACTTTACTCCCTTCTGACCCTCCCTCCTCCTTTACATATTTGCATTACTACTTTTAGATACATTTTTTTCTGAAATGATTAGCAAAGGAGGAAGGCTTAGTTTTGTACCTCTTCCATTAAAATGTCAGGAGAGGTAAAAGATCCAAGAGAGATCAGTTTTCCAGCTTGCATCAAAAATATCACTGACACCCGTCATCTGTTTCTATTCTTCAGATTTAAAGAAGTCTTATTTTATCATATTCATACCATCATATTCATACCATCCTCCTTCGATAAGTTAAAATGTGATTAATGTAGCCTAGACTCCACGTGACTGATAGCTGATCAACTGTGCCAATAAAAAAATATCCTACGTTAGCAGTATGGAGCATGATCCAAAAAAGGTTTAAGCAGTTGGATCAACATCTTCCATGCTCAGTGGGGTAATTTACAAATTTTATCCTTTCATTGAATCTAATTCAGTATGTTCTGAACCACTTCAGAAGAGCATGGGTACCACTGAACTACAGATCGCAGAATGCAAAATAGTTTAGGCTTTTGTTTCAGTAAACCTGAGTGGTGGTAAGATGATAAAGCATGAGTAGCATAACATCCACATAACACACCTTGTTGAATGTAGCCCTACAACATCACAATTCAAGTGTCATCCTGCTTCGGTGTTACAGAACAAGGGCTGGATTTCAGAACCTAATCCAGGTTCAGCTGGTTTAAAAACAACCAGTTCAAGGTGGTTTCCTTCCTTGCACCAGATGTTGTTGAGATATTATTTTTAGCACCCTTCATCATAGGGATGTGAAGGACTAGTCAACTATTCGATAAGCAAATGCTAGTCGAATAGTCACTTCCCCCCCCCCCCCGCTGCCTCTATTGGAAAGAGGTAGCTGGGGGGAAGGTAGGAGGGAGAGAAGGGGCCACTTTGAAACACCACATGCAGCCCAGGGCCAGCTAGAATGTCCCCAAGCTGCACGCAGTATTTCAAAGAGGCAGCGCCGCATGGAGCCCAGGATAAGATGGGGACTGCCCCTCTGACCGTGGGCTGCACGTGCTTTGAAATGCTGAGAGGAGCCTGGCATCAGGCTCCTCGTGGTGTTTCAAAGAGGCAATGCTGCATGGAGCCCAGGATCAGCTGGAGTCCCAGGCTCCACACTGTGCTTTCACCTTTGAAGTCAAAGGCGGAATCGGCCTATCGCCTATTCGAATAGTTGATGCAAAATGCATAGACTATTCGATTAGCCAATTAGTCGATATAGAATATCCTTACTTCATCATGGAACTTAACTTTTTGAGGGATGAGGGTGTAGCTGATATCAGTATTGGCTAATTGGTTCTGACTTCTGGTGTCATTCTCATAAGCGTTGTCTTTAAGGAGAATAAGTAAATAAAGTGGTTTCCTGCATTGTTCATACTTACAGTCTTACATTGTGGAGACCTGTGATGGGGTTCTCGATTCTTGTGAGCACCCTCTACTGGATATGTGCATGTCTGTTATCTTTTACCTCTACATTGCTCACAATGCCTTCTACTAGCTACTAGCCTTCTCAGTGGATCTTTGGCAACTCGGGCCCCCAGCAGAGTCTCACAGAGTCCAAATGTGAACAAAACAAACCTCTTCTGGGGGCCTAGCACAGTACTCT